TTTCTAGTGTGTCTGCTATATTCAGGGAAACATAACTGAATAGATGGCTAGAAAAAATCTTCACCTTCCAGGAGCACAAGGTTTTATTGTTGGTCAAATTTTAGTTCATCCTACATTAGAAAAAATACTATAATACAGATTACAATAGTGAAGCCCTTCAGCACTGTAATAATTCTTCTCATAAATATACTTTGAGAAATTCACCTCAAATATTTATACCTGAGTCTTCTCATTGTAAGCACTAGGAAACTACAGCTGTATTAATGAGTATTCATTCTTTTAGTCTTAATTTGGTTTATATAATTGCAAGCATACAGAATTTTAGAAAAAGGAGCCTTACTGAAAAGGCATGCACAAATGGATATTCTTGATTTTAAAATTTTTTTCCATTGTATTGCTCAAAATGGTAGTTTAGGTGGGGCTTTTTCCCCCTCTAAGATACATAAATCAGAAATTTTTGTTAAAAGTTGAAACATGATTTATAAAAAAGTATTCTTTGCTTGGAATAAATAAACACCAGGATAACTAACAGATCTAAGGGCATCTTTACTTGACTAAGAAAATCCATGTGATGTTAAGACCATCTGCTGCTGATGGAATGTTTTGTTTAGAATATCTTGTTTTAGGGATCAAACTGTTTATTTTACTTTCAGAGCCATGTGCATATAGGAGCCATTCAAAGAATATCGTCTTAACAACTTACAGAAAATGACTGAAAGGAACCACAGATTCAGCCGCTTTTTTAAAAGCCAACTTTCCTGATGAGATTATTTTTTTCTGTTGTACTTGTCACACATTAATGTGACGAGAAATATTTATAATAGGTTTATATGCAAGTTTAAAATGTCAAGACAAGAAAGGATTAAATGAGGAAATATCAATTTCAGACTGAAGTATTAAAAAAGACTGGTTTTCTCCAATAATCAATTCACATGCTTCATGCTGCACGCTGCACTGAAAAGCAGAAATGAACAACCACTGAAATTCCTATTATTAAAAACAATGCAGATTTAAACATAAACAATCTATTCCCAAATTAATTTAGTCCAGATTTGATATATCATGCAAATTGGAAACTACTGACGTAATTACTTAATAGAATATAGAAGTCAAGAAAAAATATGCAGTGTTGAATATTATGCAATTTGGCCAAAACCTGAAAAATCACAGTAACTTCAGAGAAACGCATATGCAATATATGCATTAGAAAAGAACTGATATGTTTCTGGCCTGTTAAAGTGCTTCAGTAGATAGAATGAGATCTAGTATCAAACAATCAGCTGTGTGCTATGCCCAAACGGTAGGAAGTCTACCCAGACAAGTATTTCTACCCACTTCAGCAAAAGGCAGAGATGTTCTTCATTTCCAAAACAGAACTCCTCACTCAAAAATCCCGTTATTTGACTCTAGAAAACTGTAAAATTCAAGCCAACATATTCCAAAAGGAGTGGTGATTTTGGGCACAGTATTTGGGTGCACTACAACTCCTGAAAAGTGTGACTTTCAAAGAGCTTGATTTGGCACTTCCTCTTCAAAGGTGTCCCAGAAGTAAGATAACCCAAGACACCCACAAACACACTCAAGATTTCTGAAAGCCCTTGCTAGTGTCACCTGAGAGAAAAGAGGTAAACATTCCAGCCCATGCTCTTTTCTGACCCACATCCTCAAGCATCAGCATCTACCTTAAGACAATAGTGCCAGTGTAGTTCAAGCATATAGTATTATAGAATGGTTTGGGTTGGAAGGGGCCTCAAAGATCATCTAGTTCAAACTCCCCTGTCATGGACAGGGACACCCTCCACTAGACCAGGTTGCCCAAAGGCCCATCCAACCTGGCCTTGAACACTTCCAGGGATGGGGCATCCACAACTTCTCTGGGCAACCTGTTCCAGTGTCTCACCACCCTCACCATAAACAATTTCTTCCTTGTACCTAATCTAAATCTACCCTCCTTCAGTTTAAAGTCATTACCCCTTGTCCTATAGTAGGCCAAAACAAACATAGACTAAAATCCCAGATTCGAGTTACTGCCACAGTTTTCAATTCAAACAGCTCCAACACTAGCTATGTTTATGAACATATGAACAGCTTGCTGTCATGATCTAAATACAGCTAATGTCTTTCTGAACGCATGGGCTGGAAGAGAAAGCCTACTTAGTTGTGAATCACAGAAACACAGAATAATTCATGTTGGAAGGGACCTCCACGGGAACATCTAGTCCAATCTCCTGCTCAGTGCAACACTAACAACACTGAATCCAGACCAGGTTGCTCAGGGCTTTGTCTGGATCTTGAAAACAGTCAAGGACAGAGTTTTCTGGGATCTCAGAGTGATCTGTTCCAAAGCTTGCCTATCCTCATAGTGATAAAAATATCCCATTTCAATTTATGACCACTGACTCTCATCCTCCTGTTGTGCAGTTTTAAGTGAGCTTGGCTCCACCTTCTCGGTAACTACTCAGGTACTGTAAAGATGCTGTTAGGTTCCCCCAAAGCCTTCTCTTTTCCAGGCTAAACTTGTCCAGCTCCCTCAGCCTCTCCTCGAGGAGTACACACTGCAGTGTATTTTTGCCATGATTTAACTTTAACACTAGTAATTTTCTTTTGCTCACCTTTTGTAATGTGTTAAAGATAATACAGAACTTCTAAGCAAAAAAGTATATATATTGAGGATATTTATATAGTTACTCATTAAAGCAGTCTGGAAGCAGTCTGCAGCAAAGGGTAAAATAACTACAGGTTTATCTTGGTAACATTTCTCTACAAAGAAAATCAACACTCCAGCTGGGAGGGAATGCATTCTGTAGGTATCTGGAAAATCTATTTTAAAAAAGATGTTCTTGAGAAAGACAGGAGAAAACCTCTATATGTTACATCCCAAAAGAAAGCACATAGAACTACTCAAAAGGGGAGGGGGCAATTATTTAATTAACACTTTTCAAGAACAATAATAAGAGCAGTAAGATTTTTTTCAGAACAAAGTGATCAATGCCTCCTAGCACGCTGTGCCAGTTCCATCTATCTGGTACTCTAACAAGACTGAAATTCATCTGGGGACACACACAAAAACTGAAGCAGAGCTTCAGAGAGACATAAAACACCACCAAGTAACTACTGAATTTGTAGAATACAAACAACTTTCAAGCATAAATAGTTTTAGCAATTCACTTTGATAACTCCAAAGTAAAAACCAGCCAGAAGTCCACTTACCTTTTGACTACTATGGCAAGTTTAATTAATTCCAATGTATCCATTTGTTCACAGATGTTTTGAATTTAAACTGATTTTTCCTTCCAAGGCAGAAACTGTACCATGAGAACATCAGATAATACTTAGCTCAAACCCAAGAAAGTCACAGTTTATGTGAACAATACATTACTTCAATCCATGAATTCCTCATTTTGTAAAGGTATGCGTGTTAATACTTACAGAGGAAATAAAGAGATAGTGACATTTTATATTTATCTTTGAAAACTTCATTGAAATCTTACAATTTTGAAGATAATGAGGTTTGTTTGCTTTGTTTTATTAGAAAAAATACTCAGGCAAGGTCTACAATCATCTGTCAATTATAAATGACTTACAAGAAACTCATGAAGCAATAAAATTAAAAAAATACAAATACAAACTATATCTGAAACACTTCTATTTGGCAATTTTATAACAAATTCAAAAAAGAAACAAAGATTACGGATTACTTTATAGGTACAGAAAAAGCAGTAGGTGAAGTGCTCAAGCAAAAAAAAAAACACTGCATTTTTTCAAAAATAAAGTCACATCACTACAGATTTTATGAATAATACCCTTATTAAACAACCATTCCAGAATATCTTATATTAGTGGTGCTTTTAATCTGCACTTCATTTTGTTTGATAAGATTTTTTTGTGTGTGTGTATATAAGTAACATTTTTAACCCACTGGAGCTAAGCAAGACTCACGTGTCAGTACCAATGCAGAATGCATTTGTATTATATTAGGATATGCTCACTTCTGCAACCAAAGGGTTACTTTAAGTCTTATTCTATTTAATAAAAATTTAGTGTAAAAACTGCTGGTTATTAGTTTCACTGTAGTAAACTCCTCCCCAATAAGGAGGACTAACTCTGCAGTTTGACTGCATATATCCATACAAATTTTACATATTAGTTCCTTCCAATAGTAAGGAAAAAACTAATTTCATGTTCACTATTAGAAAGGAGAGCCATGAATTAATTATGGGTACTATTCATCCCTCTAAGATTTCTGGGAAGGATGTTCAATGTATTTTTGTTCTTATAACAGATATTAACAGTAGTATATAGTCCCTTAGGTATGTAAAAGAAGGGGTTTTTTATTGTTAAGGAAGGTGCTTTTTTTAAACAATTCTTCTGGCAGCACTAGTGAATTACAATATCCTTCAATATTATTTCTACCATAATATATACATTTTAACTTTCATGCCTCTAGAAAAACATCTACAGTACATTTCATAATATAAAAATATATTACAAATCTGCTGAAATATTTACAAGCAATGTCCTATTATCTATATGCAACATTTTTGTCTCCATACAAAGACTAACAGGTTAGACACATCTCTATTTGTCAGTTAAAAAAATCCATGGCTTCTTGCTTATTAAGCAAGAAAATGATTTTACTTTCCTTTTCAAAGCCAACTTTGGTGCATAAAGGATTGAATTTCTAGATTTTTTTTTTTTAAAAAATACCATTTTCTTTACATCTAGAAAACATTAGGCCAAATAAAAAAATTATACTTTACAAGTGAATTGGGATCCTAAAGGGTCAAAAAAGTAAAATAAACCATCGATAACACTAATTGCTTAAGTAGAGGTTTTTCAAAAACCATCCATTGATATGGATCACAAAGGCAGATCTCATTAATATACTATACTACTCCTGAAAAGGGGGTCAGACATACTGCAACACTCTTAACATCTTTAAACCGTACTATATGTATTCATAGTTGATTGGAAAAGACAAGCATTCCATCAACATTTGTTTAAACATTATAATCCAACATATTTTAGGGATCTGCAAAAGGACACAAGATTACAAATGACGAATGATTACTATCCACCATACTCAAAGGCAACAGGATAATCCCTTGGTAGCTGTTTTATTGTCTGGCATGCGTTATATTTAGTTACCATTGACAAGAAGCCTAATAGCTTGTTAACAGTTCTCCTGGGAATTGTGAGTAAAATGGTGATGGTTACTTTTTCTTTTCATCAAATATAAACTACTGTATTCACTAAAGAAAAAAGCAGCTTAAAGAAGCAAGCATGCAAAGCCTTTTAGTTGTTCCACTAAGTTGCCAGAAGAGTGTTTGCTCAGTCTCCCACTGTACCATTCCATGAAAATGTGGATATACAGTAATATATTAATATATTCCACGGAAGCATCAACTTCATTCACAGAATGTTTACACTAAGCATAAATATTTATCTAAAAAAAAAAAAAAAAAGGATGGGATTTGACTAATGTGCAACTTTATTTCTAAATCCATTGTCAGTGACTAAGACTGCAGGTGTCCCCACTTGCTTGGTTTTTACCTCTTCAACCTCTTCTGGGGCATTGTTCTGCAAAAGAAGATAGTATAGTTTTACACAGAGACTCTGAGATGTAAATTTGGGTCAACTAGAGTATCCTATGAAGTCATGACTATGCAAAATCTACTTTGATGAAAACTGAAAGCCATTTTAGATTATCCCATATTAGTGTACATTCCAGATAATTATTTCAAACTTTCTGTTGGAGTCGTCATTTTAGCATGGTATTAATAGCTGTCACTGAATTCCCTTAACCACTTTTTACCCTTGCAAAGTTTTGGTCTTCAACTTTATTTCTTTGAGCTCCCACAGTTGGTCCCAAAGCTCTTTTTAATCACACACTGATCTATACTGCTAAAAATCTAGGACAACATTATGTGAAGGAACCTCGCATTATTTGGGAAGAGGTTGCTCATTTTTGTCCGAGGACTTAAATCTCAATGATCTTAACATTTTTATTTTAAAAGGTTATTTTTTCCTTTTCAAATCAAACTATCAAGTTCTGCAAAGGTAATTAATATAAAGATGATTAATACCTAAATTAGATCATAAAACAGTCACTGTGTTAAGCAGTTTTAAAACACACAATCCAATCTCCTCATAACCTTTTTATGACTTACTGTTAACATCACTAATTCATATACTAAAGTAAGTATTTTAAGTACTTACATTTACAAAGATAGCAGCTATAAAATGATGATTTATTTTCATATTGTAAACCAAGTTTTCATTAATTTGATTAGTGAAATACACTGAATCTTAAAGGTGAACTGAAAGGCTTATCACATATCAGGACCTCAGATTAGCGTTCCAGTTACTCCTTTAGACACTGGGTCATCGGATGTTAAGGAAGAAACATGCGAACACTGAATTTCTCTTATGGTAGAAAAAATCCCCCCCCCCTTTTAATGAATTTTTAATATAAGCCCATAAATATGTGTCTCTGGATGTTCGAAACCTTAAGAGTGAATGAAGCATTTCAGATTACCTTTAAAAACTGTACACACACGGAACTGTGGGTACCGGCAATTATATGAGCACACTAATAAAGGGGGGGTGGGGTGGTGGTGCGGAATCAGGAAATTATTAGAAACAAGATGGATTAGAAGCCAATCTGAAGTCCTAAAAACACAAATGTGAATGCAGCTTAAAGACAAGTAACATGTACTGTCCCCTTCTGTCCCCCTCTAAAGAATCTTGTATTAAAAAATAACAGTACTTGTATACAAGTACAGATTTCAAGGTAATACTGCATGTATTACAGTTGAATATAAAATATGTAAAGATAAATTTGGACTTTAAAAAAATTGGTATACAAACCAGTATGTGATCTTAACAGAAGTGATCTTTCAGGATTCCACTGTATGTACCTCCTTTACTAGAATTTCTGTACACCAAGCACAAAAAAGTAAAATACACTTGGTAAATACACACATTCCCCGTTTCTCAGTAACTAGAGTTCAGTTCAAGAAGTTAAGTAATTCTGAAACAACTTAAGACCTCACGACTTAACTCCTGGACGCTGACAGGGTCAAGGCTCCCTAGTCTGGTGTATAATGCATTATCAATCCTGATTTTCCAACGTCAAAAAGTTAAGTGAGGCTTAAGTCTATATTTAAGTAAAGAAAGTTTCAAAATTAGGACATTACCTGTATATGTTTGGGTCCAGAAGCAAGGCAGTATCTTTTGGTAGTTTTGATAAATGAACTACTTTAGTTTTTAACTGATGTCGCTCACTTTCATTTACCCACACATCAGGCAGACTATGAATAAATAAATAAAATAAAAATATTCAAAAAAGATCAACTGGTTTTTTTACCATAAAATTACGTGGTAAACTAGTACATATGAAGTTTTTTAAAGTAATCTTCACATTTCACTTGTTAAAGAGCATCTTCACTGGAATGAGAAAAAGACAGACAATCTACACATTATACTTCAAACTTTTTCAAGCTCTCAATGTGAAAAAGATTCTAAACAGAATTTAGATTATTCCAGAAGAATACTAAACCAAACATATAATGATAATGGCACTACCTTCTCCATTTTAACAATTTAATGTGAAAATGAGTAGCAGGAAAAAAACCCAGATCTTTGAAAATACTTTATTTCACTGGGCATAAAATTCTTCTATGCTGTCAAAAAAAGTAAGTAAGGCCAGAACTACTGCAGGCACTGAGCTTTGAGTTACACTAATTTGCTTGCTCCAAATTCAAAGCTTTCAGTGTCAAAATGCTCCAACTTTGCTACAGTTAATCATTTGGCATTTGATTATCTTCTGAGGAAATCCAGGCAATCATCATGAAATATTTTGGCTAAGTAACAGTTCTCATGGTGAGATGGACTAAAACTTGGTCTTTACACATTAAAGGGAATTGTTGCTTCAGTGCTACTTGCAGTGAAACTTGGGGAAGAGGGCTGAAGATGACAAACACAATTGATCTACATTTTGTATTTTAATTCTTTGAAACCAAACATGCCTACTTCAGAGTGGCTTATTGCATTACTGCTTCTTTTACTGAAAGCACATTGTGTTTTTAAGGCCCTGCTGAGGTTTTCAGGTAACACGTTCTTAAGAGAGGCACCAGGCTTGCAGAGGTCATCAGCGTCTTACTGAAAAGCTGCTTTCCTGCCTCCTTCCAAAAGTTAGCATTGACCAAGGCTGTGCAAGCAAACAAGTGATCCACTTTGCTTCCACTACTGAGGGAAAAAAAGGGGGGGACCACCCCCCAAAAAGCAAAACAAAACAACCCCCCAAAACCAACAACTCCTTGAGATTATTTTCAGCCCACAAAGTTGGGGGTTTTTTTCCCCCTCTTTTTACATAACCTAGGCGGCAAAAACTAACTTCACAATCAGAAAGATTTTACTTTTGTAATTAAGAATTCTAACATTCTGAAACAAGTTTCAAATTGAGAAACACAACATTTAAGACTAAATGAAACGGTTCTTTCTCTGACCAAAGCTATATGCAGCTTTACAGGCTTTGCAAATTATTAAACTGAATCTCTTTTTCAGTAATGAAAGTTAGGTGTAACTCAAATTCAATTTTTTGGGGTAAGCCATCCGAAAAATAAAATGAAACAGAGAACTTCTACCCCAGTAGGAAAAGAAGTTTCTCCAATTACACTTTTCCCTTTTCAGATGAAGGGGGAAGAAAGAAAAAAAAGAGAGAGAGAAAAACCACCACCACCCAGGAGGCAATCTATATGTCTACTTAGGTTTAATATGGATCATAAAAGGTTAAAAAAAGTCTTATGATAATTTTTCAATAAAGCCAAAATCAGTTTTTTGACAAGCAACATTTAGAAGACATTTTTGGTAGAAGTTATATGCTGAAGATGCAAAACAATACAAACAGCAAACAAGAAAACTTTTCACATGCAAAGACGTCTTTGTTTAAAATAAAGACAACAACCCAGTGAGCTAAGAAGTATCGGCACAAAGAATACAAAAAGAAATCAAAGAATAAATTTAAAATAAATTAAAAAAATAAAAGTTATTTCCCTCTTGTATAGGAAACGTGTTAAAGACTAGTATTGACTTTTTCTGAAAAAATACTTAATGTACAGATAACCTGGAGCAGTTTAACAGTTTCTCAAGATGACTCAGAGTAGAAAAAGTTAAATCATTATTACTAGCTCCATCTGAAAGGCTGATGAACAGCTCAGCACAACGGAAAGTAATCATCATGACTGCATTCAACTTTTCTAAAGTGTCAATACATTCACTAAGACAGATGGATGTCATGACCCATGATATCTTATTTTTAACGGTAATCAAGATGAAAGGGAATCTACCAAATACTCAGTAATTAAAAACTGCATCATTCAGTGCGGAAAATATACCCTCTACCTAACACAACCAAGATGCAAGAAATAGCAATATAAACCACATTATTCCTTTGACCTGACCAACCAAATCTACATTCTATCGGGGATGTCTTAACATTACTGAATAACTTCTTCTCCAACACAGAGATTCTAATATTGTATTCATCTGCATGAGCAAAAAACTCATTTGACCCTGTATTAGAAAAAGTACTCTTATGTTTTTAATTCACTTTTCATGTTCCCCGTGTTATATGTGTTTTAATGCTTTTTATCTTAAAATGCAATTAACTGTCTTTATGTGTAATATTTTAATGAGTAATTTTAGAATGCTGTTACATATAGTATTATCAGCTGTCCTAAAAGGAAGTAAAAAACCCCCTACCCTTTTTACTAGAATATTTTAGTTATTCTCTCCCAAGTTGAATTGAAGCTTGCAGTCTACAAGTGCCATAACAAGCAGCAAAAGCTACAGACACTTTAAAATTGCACCAAAACGCCAGACATTGCTGCAGATAACTTACCAGCAACCCTAGTCCTCTGCAAATAAAAGTTATAATAGATGCACTACTGCACATGACTAATTTGGCACACTACAAAACTGAGTAATTTAAGCCACTTAACCAAAGCAAAGGTAAATTTCTGTTATGCTAAGGCTTTGCATCACCATCCCACTCAATCACTTAAAAGCAGCACTGGATCGAAAAGATCTCCTTGCTCTAACAGTTCATTGCATGAACTATGACTATTAAATCTGAAAATTAGATATTCTTACCTCATGAATTCTACCAATTTAGAGGTATCTTCCTAGTAAAACTGAAGTTCCTTTTATTAAGGGCCTCTAAACCAGCATGTCCTACTTAATTATACAGCTATTCATCTTGGTTTGAACTAGATGTCTCAGTAACTTCCATCTGAATGTGAACTAAACATCCCAGTAACTTCATCTGTATGCAGGACTATAGATCCAGGAATAGGTATGCAGGAGTGTGGATCCAAGAAATAAATTCTATTATAATTATTCTTACTTTCAAAAGGAAGAGTAGTTAATCATCTTAAAACTTGTGGAAAACATGGAGCATGGAACTACTGCCTCTCCTAAAACTACTCTTCCTACTGCTCTCCTACAGCACAGTGGAAACTGAACATTTATTCTACTTTTCCATATAACAAAGATCAAAATATTTACATATAAATTCTTTTCTGTGTCCGAAGAAAGAGATGAGATATCAGCTATTTCAAAGTAGTAAACAAATAATTTCTAACGTACATTTACTGCTTCAAATGTCCCATGCCTACCTGAGGACAGTACCTTCATCCTGCATTACAAAGCTACTCATTTGGAACAAGGCACAACTTTGAAAAACCAAGAGAAAAAAGCAGCCAAACATGCTGGAAGAGTATTCCAAGTTTCAGTGGGAGAATCCAAAGCAGCAGCAATATGACATGGCTACCTTAAAGGGCCAACTGCGATTTTTATCCTGTTAAATTGTAGCACCTATGCAAAGATTCTCGTAGTTCTACTGTTACACTGATGGTTGTACATTTTTCAGTACCTAAAAGTATTTTAGGATCATGATGACTCAGTGGATAAAACAAAGTTGCCTCAGTGATAAATTTCCTTATGTATATGGCTGGCAAAATCAACCTGAACTCCTCATTCAATAATTAGAGGACTTTGTTATTAATACCCACAGTGACAAAACGCATCAGAAAAGGAGCTCCAAATTACCTGAACTGGTATCATAGTCTAAAGACTTGAAAGTAAATTATTTTTTAAAAAAGCATTTTTAAAACATGAACTTTAATTTAAATATTCAAAGGCATAACATAATTTAGTGACAGTTCGTTTACTCCACTGTAAATCCTTCCCCATTTAAATCCTGTATCAATATCACTAGCAATATACTCACATGTCCTCTGGTGTCCAATGAAGCAAGAGTTTTATTTTTCCAGAATCTTCTTTTCTTTTAGCTATTACCTGATAATAATTACATAAATCATAATTAAAATAAAATCTGGAGATTTTTCGCTCAAAAAATTTTGTTCTTCATTTTCAGCTGGACATTCATAAAAGGCAAACTGTTTTACTCTTTGAAAGTTGCATTAATTCTATATATAGGTAGAATGCACATATCACTACTCAAGCCACTTGGCAAGGTTTAATATTTTCCTTTAACATCTGTCTACTGAGTGGTCCCTGGAAAAAAAAAAAAAAATGCATCCTGTAAGTAGCCTTCTTTCTTTTAAAATTGAAGTTTTAAGCAGCTACCTAAAAAACTTTGAAGAACATACATTCCTCTACAAATATGCTTACGTTGTTCCATAAGAAGTCTATAGAAGATGCGAGAAACTGATGCAGCTTATAGTTTAATTATAGCATGGCATAAGAATAAAATATCAAAGCATTTGTGAGACTTCTGGACATATATGTATAAATTCCTAGGTAACTTTTACTCATTCTTTTTCAATACCTAAACTAAGCACTGAATGAGGCCATGGCAAATGCTACTCTGAAGAACTCATGGGCTTACAGAGATTATTTAATGCATACGTAATGGGGACCCTTAACACAGTTTCTTTGCTGTAGACTGCAGCACCTGAGCCTAGAACCAAATAAAGATAAGTCAAAGCTCATTTTACAGGGCAAATAAAACTCAGTTCTCATCAGCTTTCCCATTCAAAACCATACATTTTCTTGTACAGTCCAGTTCATTCTCAAATTAACCTTCAGGTTTTAAGGAGACATATACGTTCTCTCATGTAATGTAAGCATCATGGATATTGCATACTGAAAAGTTTACAGGTGGCATTTTAAAATGTTAGCATTTGGACACGTTAAACTAGCTACACCCGAGTTAGAAGGAAGAAGTTATTCTTCACAAACAGCTCTTCATCCTATCTAAAACTTGAAGAATACGAACGAGGCAACCAGGCAAAACACACAAGTCACAGATGCATATTACACCTAACTACTAGTCAAAGCTGGGGTTGTTGTCCATCTATCACCTGATCAATGACACTGCTTCTACAGGGATTTACAGTGTAATACAACCTCATAGATCTCTGTAAGAACCACCCAATATAATTTCCTGCATTCTCCAACAGGAAAAAAAAAAGTACAGACAAACTCTGACATTAACAATTTCTTGTTTTCAGGAATATGCAGTACAAAATTTAGAACTCTGCTGTCTTACCATCACCACATTGAAAAGAGAGATTTATAAAAACTCAAAAAATGAAACACTGATATGTAAAAGACATTCAGGTACAAAATTCAGGGCATTTTACGTACTGCCTGAATTATAGCACTGCAAGTACCGTTCTCTTATTCTAGAGCCCTAGTAACATCTTCAAGCAATCAGTGCTAAACTAAGGACTTGAACCAGCTTTCACACACACACAGAAGTTTAATAGAAGGAGAAAGTAACCTTTAGCAGTAGAAAATTAAAAAAGAAAACCATAACAAAAGAGCTAATCATAACACATTAAAGCTATGGAAGTTAGGGATAGGATGCTTTTGCACAGAGATACACACTTGCATCCAATGTGAATTTTGCAGACTTTTCCCCCCTGCGTCGTTGGCTTGGCTTGTCCCTACTAAATAAATCAATACTCAAAGTCTGAGCAATTCACTAGGTTTTGACTGGCATAAAAGATTCTCTCTCCGTATATGGAACAAGCCTATTTTTCTTTAATATTAAAAGTAGTATGTTAGCTTTCTGTTAGGATACAACAAAAATCTGGCATCTATAGCTGCCATTGC